TGAGTGTTAATAACGTTGTATACACAACTAATTAACAAACAGAGAAGTCTTGACTGTGCTCTGTTCTGCTATAAAGCACACAGGAAGCGGCTAGAGAACTTTATTTCCAAAGCAAACAACAGTGTCGTCAGCATGCTCTATGCTCTCATAAAGCACGCGACAATAAGCCAATCAGAATCCCTGTTAGAATGGTCCAAATAATCTGATTGGCTGTACAAGACTAAAGCTGTCAAAAGTGTCAAACCATCAGAGTTAAAAAACCATCAAAGTTCACATTCTGCGTTATTTTACAAACTGAAATAGTTCGGCAGGTCGAATTTAACACTTTTGTTTGAAGTTTTTAAGTCTCTAATACAGAATCTTGAAGTCAAATGTGCAGTGAAATTCAGCCGAATTATGGCTCATAAAAACACGCGAGTTTTTTTCACATGACAAGGTAGGAAACAAACTGTTCAAGGCAAGTGTTTTTTGAATGAACGACAGCCGAATTCACCGGAACATGAAGATCGCTGGGATGACAGCTCCGCAAAACTCGGCTGATGTGACTTTCCACTCAATGAATCGGAAAGGATATCAGAGCAAGCTCTTATTTTTTCACTCGAAGGGCGGCCGATGTAGTTTCTGAGGCTTGCTTTACTGTGATAACCGGAGATCGCCGTGATGAGCGAAGCGATGGACTTAGCATGATCATATTCGCTCAGACACCGTCGTGATTAGTATGAATTTTAACAGTTATGCCAGTTTGGTTATATTTTTCATCATTTCTGTTTTGTTCTGTTTTGTTTTTGAACACTGAACTTTATATACTATACGAGTGTTAGCTGTGTTTGATTTTTATTACCGTACGTAAGCTTGCAATCTAACTGAGCGCGAAAATCTTTAAAACTCGGAATGTCTATTTTGTTTTTCCTTTGAGGATTTTCGTATCTGTTCACGTTTTAATAACGCAAATCACTGCGCCTGGTATGTTTACAAACGTTTGTTCGGTTCTTCCGTTGCTACTTGCCGGCTCGCTTGTTCCGAAATTTTACTTTCAATTATCGGAAAAAAGCTGAAAAGAAGTCCCGGAAAAGGTCGAACATAGTACAATTTGGCAGATGGCGTGACAGCTGTAGCTCAGCTCTATGCTCTAGACTCTCATAGAGCACGCTCTTTCAGCCAATGACAACGCGCGTTATATCCGAACTTTATTATAATTAACAAATAGAGAAGCCTTGACTGTGCTCTGTTCTGTTATAAAGCACTTAGGAAGCGGCTAGAGCACGAAAGAAGTGTAGGGAGAAACACGAGACGTAGTCGAGTGTTTCTCCCCACTTCTTGAGTGCTCTAGCCGCTTCCTAAGTGCTTTATAACAGAACAGAGCACAGTCAAGGCTTCTCTATTTGTTTTATAATAAAGAATCCATTAAATTCCCCGAGCATTACTTTCAATTTTCAAAACAAACTTTTTTCCAAAGCGAAGAACAGTGTCGTCAGCATGCTCTATACTCTCATAAAGCACGCTACAATAAGCCAATCAGAATCCTTGTTAGAATGGTTCAAATAATCTGATTGGCTGTATAAGACTAAAGCTGTCAAAAGTGTCAAATCATCAAAGTTCAAAAACCATCAAAGTCCACATTCTACGATAGTTCACAAACTAAAATAGTTCGGCAAGTCGAATTGAACACTTTTGCCTGAAGTTTTTAAGTCTCTAATACAGAATCTTGAAGTGAAATGTTCAGTAAACTTCAGCCGAATTATGGCTCATAAAAACACGCGAGGTTTTTCACATGACAAGGTATAAAACAAACTGTGCAAGGCGAGTGTTTTTGAATGAACGACAACCGAATTCACCGAAACATGAAGATCGCTCGGGATACGGCAAAACTCGGCTGCAGTGACTTTCCACTCAACGCATCGGAAAGGATATCAGAGCAAGTTCTTATTTTTTCACTCGAAGGGCGGCCGATATAATTTCTGAGACTTGCTTTACTGTGATGACCGGAGATCGCCATGATGAGCGAGCCGCGATGGACTTCAGCATGATCATATTCGATTAGACACCGTCATGATTAGAATGAATTTTAACAGTTATGGCAGTTTGATTATATTTTTCATCATTTCTGTTTTATTCTGTTTTGTTTTTGAACACTGAACTTTTTTTAAATACTATATGAGTGTTAGCTGTATTTGATTTTTATTTCCGTACATAAGCTTGCAATCTAACTGAGCGTGAATTAATCTTTAAAACTCGGAATGTCTATTTTGTTTTTCCTTTGAGGATTTTCGCATCTGCTCACGTTTTAATAACATAAATTACGGCGCCATGTATGTTTACAAACCTTTATTTGGTTCTTCTGTTGCTACTTGCCGGCTCGCTTGTTCCGAAACTTCACTTTCAATTATCGGAAAAAAGCTAAAAAGAAGTCCCGGAAAAGGTCGAACATAGTACAATATGGCAGATGGCGTGACAGCTTTAGCTCAGTTCTATGCTCTATACTCTCATAGAGCTCGCTCTTTCAACCAATGACAGCGCGCGTTATATCCGAACTTTATTATAAATTCTATTCGAAATTTTTTAGCCTCAAGGAACGCAAAGTCGTATCTCTTTTAAAGGTGCTCCTGTCTTTTAATAAAATTCGACTGATTTTGAACAAGGCTTACTTTATTTATACGAAAGCAGAGGAAAGAAGCGGAAAGAAAAATTATGTTATCTTTATAACAAAAAAATATACAAATTTTGGTCTCTTGTGAGACTAATGAGACTAAACTGTAAAATTGCTGCTGTACAAAATTATCAAAAAGCTAAATTTATTCATTAATGAATGGAACTTTAGCTGTAAGCATAAATTAAGACTTTCCAATTTAAGTTGCTAAAATGTATTGCTTAAAACACAGCGCAGATAAAAACACCTTTCCTCTTCAGAGATCAAACAGTCATTGTTGTTAGTTAGTAAACTGCTCAATAATAAACTTTGCCGTTTGGTTAAACACTGCGCACAGGAAATTTATTATTTTGATACGGCTTTAATTTGTTTGAGGTTCCCATTAAAACGAATCGAGTTAAGAAAGATAATGGTATTGATGTCTGACGCAATAAATTTCGCTGTTTGCCGACAGCAGGTGATGAGGAACAGCTTCGGGAGCGACTCAAATTCCTGTAAGCAATTTATAGATCATGATCAGAAATCTAACCAAGAATATATGGGACACGAAGAGAAATCATTGCACTTATCTTTAATAGGTCCAGACTCTCTACGAAGGGATGACGAAATCAGACATTTTTTGCTTTCACACCGATTTTATAACTGGATACACGTTCGGCTCATGCCCACGTACATAGGAGAGGAACCCAAAAATGAATGTTAATTTCTGGAACTCACATTTTATTCAAGTTATTAAAAATTAAACTAGCGACCAATTTTTAATATCGATATGAATTTCTCCCTGTTAGAGGACGTTCTTGTTTTTAAAGTCTCAACCGAAAAATTGAATTCCATTGTAGTATCAAAAACAAAAGGTTATTATTCCTTTAGTTCGAAGTATGTACTCCCTCGAAAAGTAAAAAGAATTTTCAGAGAATGACGGAAAATTGTAATGTCGTACGTTCTTTTGGGTTGTATGTAGCAGTCAATGTGCGAAATTATGTAGGTTAGCTCAGAATTCGACCAAACGTTATGTTAAAAACAAGCAAGTCAATTAAATAACTTGGCTTTTATCCCTAAAAGCTTAAGATTACTTCACCGTTATGTTTACTTAGTGTAGTTATCAATGAAAGAGTACACAGTTAATTCAATCGAGGAAAAAGATTATGATGAGCTCATTTAGTCCCGGCACAGATAATTTTCTAATCCTTCTCAGTGGTTGTATGATGTGTAAGTGCGAGAAATGAACTGTTCAGATACATCTGGATCTGAACGGTGTTCCATGTATTGGAAACTTTTTAATCAAAGTTAAAAACTGTATATCATATCATTCCGATGATATTACAAATAACCACCCCCCCCCCCCCCAGGGAAAGACAGTGGCTAATTACATGCCAGGGGCTTATGAGTTGTAAAATTATATTAGTTCCCTCTAGATATCATTTCAGCTTCAGTTGATTGTGGCAACCTGCGGAAGTGTTTGACACCTCAGAAGAACACTTATCAGAGTCAGTTTAAGAAGCAACGGGTATTATTTTCAGGTATGTGTATAAATTTATCCATATCTTGTTTTAAATTTTGCCATTTTAGAAAAGGCGAAAAAAGGAACTGTCAGGAAAAGTTAGGTGAAAACTTATCTAATCCTGCAGAATGTAGAATATGCTCTAATATAACAATTAGCTAGCCTATGACCAAAGTTCATTGCGGAAAACTAAGCACAAGTACCATCGAATGTGGATTATTTGTGGAAGTTTCCTAATTTTTTTAACGTTTCGAAATGTGAGATAATTTTAGATAGAAGATCAAACGAATGTTTTGCCAGATGTCAAGAGGGAAGTCCAGTGAAAACTACTCAACATTTCTGCTTCTCTCGTAGATACGTCTTCATGTAAAAACCTTTCAGCTTCTGAACAAAGACTATTTGATTAATCATCCTAACCTCTTGATATCCCGTGGAAGCTGTAAAAATTTGAAGGGAAACAAAATTACCATATCAGTCTTTTCTTGTAAAGTGATAGCTAGCGAAAAAAGACCTCAAGAGTAAAGAGGGGCGGGACGGCGTCTAAAACGACAACGTTTCGTTTTTTTTTTTCAATTACCTATGGAGGAATTTTCTCCTCAGAAACATTGGAGTGGATGATTATTTCTCTTTTGTCATTAATTTTAAATGGAACGTCAAAACTGCAAGTCTGCCTCGACGCTCTTGCTTTATATGATGTTGTATTTCTCAAGTATTTTTGTATGATTATTTTCAACATTTTTCTTGCTCATTAATTTTTTAGGACTTCATCAGCTTTCCCATACTCCCTCGGACTTGTCCAATAACCCGCCCTTTTACTTAATTCTTTTTCAATTAAAATGCTCACCATATTTTCGCAGGTGTCATAGATCTGTTATTCTTCATATGGCTGCTCGACAAGCTTCGTTTTTTACCGCGCTGTTTTTAATTTCTCTCATGTTCCGTGGCATTGCTTGTCAACAATGTCACAGAATAAACTCGATTTATCAAATGATGCTTAAAGGCCATACCTATAAGACGTTCAAGACTACACCAGGTACGCCCGAATGCAGAGACATTTGTCAAAGCTTTAATGTCGTCATGTTCATTGCAATATGTGAGTTAAACAACCGAACTAAAGAGGCCAGACCAGAGGACTTTGTCAAGGACGAGTATAGATATTACATGGCGAAAGGTCCAAAACGAGGTAATTGAACTTGTAAATATAAATTAGTAGGGTGCGCTTATTTCAGCTAAAGTGATCCATTACCATTTTAGTTCCCTTGGGATCAAGGCGTGAGCTGCCTGCTGAATCGTGCAAGGAAATCAAGGCGAGTGAAGGAGAACAAGCAGTTAGCAGTAATTATTGGTTGGATTCTACAAGATCTGGGAACTCTATTTTAGCTCGCTGCGACATGAAGACAAAAGGTTAGTACAACAAATATTCCATGCCTATTTGCCTTCGTGCTAATGAAAGGCCTTCTCTTAATCAATTCTCTTTTTAACTAGTTGCAGACTTTTGTGTCAAGCACCAATGCCAAAACGATGCAAAGTGTGTGAACCGTGAAACCAACTACTCGTGCGCATGTAACTCATCTGGTTGGACAGGAAAATATTGTGAAAAAGGTTTTTCTTTTGTTGAAAAAGTTTCTGCTGAAGTTCATGCAGAACAAATTCGATGAAGGAACTTCATTAAACTAACATATGCTTATCCGTAGATATCAACGAATGTAAGGAAGGCCGGCATGGTTGTCATGTAAATGCCATTTGTAACAACACTGAGGGCTCTTACAACTGTAAATGCAAACCGGGATTTACTGGAGACGGAAGAAACAGCTGCAAAGGTAAGGTTGTTATTGTCGTTTTCATTATCATTATCATCCGATTAGAATCCTTTACGGCCCCTTTGCCTCGCCTTCACCTAATGTTTTGTTTGAGTCATGCACAGATAGGAAAATATTGTCAAAAAAGGGAAGAAAAACAACAAAAACAGGCGGGTAAAGACAAGCCTCACCGTTCATCTCAGCTACTCTTAATATTTAGAATGTGGGCCTGTTGGTGTGACAGACAATAATAGTTTTGAAAAAAAAGTTGTTAAACTATTGAAGCGCGTTAAGACAAGCAATTAAACATTTTGATGATTGCAGCGGATTGAATATAAATTAATTCCTTGGGCTGTTTTGTCCTTTTTTTTTAGTTTTTCTTGTTACTTAACTCAAACATTAAAGTTATTTAATCAGTTTTAGCTGTCAATTGCTCATTAAATTTCTTATCGGCTTACCTACCTCGCTAATGCATTAAAGTTAATATTTGCTACGATTTTATTCTCGACAGAGGAACCTGATATTTTCGAAAATTGAAAGGCAATGAGAGAAAAGGAACATTGAAAAAATCCAAGAAAGCAAACAAAGAAACAAACAGACAAACAATAAAAGGGCAAGGAAAAAAAAGTTTATTTGAGTCAGGAATCTACTTTCGTAAATTTTTATGCTCATGCAAGGCCCTGTATTACTTGTATTTATTTAGTATGTAAGTCAGTTGGTGTGGCGGACAGGAACAGAATACCAGATGCTAGAATGACAGCGAGCAGTTTTTACAATACAGACTATTATCCATACTATGGCCGACTCCATGGAAACAGGAGGGGGGGAGCGTGGTGTGCAAAGACTCCCTCTGACAGAACAGACTATCTTCAAGTTGATTTGGGTACAGTGCTTTATGTTTGTGCCGTGGCCACACAAGGAAACAAGAAACAAAATCAGCGGACCACCACTTACAAAGTTCACCTGTCCACAGACGGTACAAACTGGAACATTTACAAAGAAAAAAGTATTGAAAAGGTTTGGAAAAATTAATGCCGTAATGATCCGATTTGGCGTCCGCTATTCCAATTGGCGACCCAATTCTGTTTTGGTGATAGGGCTGTTAAAGTACATGTCCATTGAGATCTGCCATGGTTCATATTCCTTTGATTGCTTACTGAAAGCTATTATTACTGTTATATCCAAGTGAGTGTACAGATCCCCTTAAACGAATCATCTCGTCTTAAAATCTCGTGACGCTTGCTTGGCTGGTCTTTCCCACCAAGAAGGATTCAGGGGCAACAAGTCCGTTTTCCAGTCTTCATGATCCTTTTCAAATAAATATCAAAGCTTCGCTTTGCACATTCTGTTGTTTTTCGAAAAACAAATATGTGCCCTGTCCCTAATAAGCGTCCTGTTTTGAAGAAGTGCCCTCCCTTGATGTACCAAAAGTAAATAAGCGCCGCAGGAGCAAAATCGAATCATAATATCAATTAGTTTATACGTGTTTCATTACGGCTAGATTCAAGAGACAGCTCACAACTGTATCAAAGATTTTTCTTTAACAGATCTTTCCTGGAGGCTACCACTGATATTTCGTTTGCAACATTAGTTTTTTAGCTAACCTCGATGTACTTCAGATCCTATCCCAATGCCCTCCCTTATAAACTTGTATTGTGTGTTGCTGGATTCTACGGCTTTCTCCTTGTGAATAATGCATCTTTTCCTGTTTCAGGTGTTCCCAGGAAACTCAGACCAAAACAGCGTCGTAAAACATTTACTCGCTACTGACGTCATGGCCAGATACGTTCGGTTCTATCCCGTCACCTACAAAAGGTTTCCATGTTTGAGAGTTGAAATATTCACGCGAAAATGATGGCAACTTTTAATGAATTTTTCTCATCTAGCTCAGTGCACTGATATAGGAGACAATGACAAACTTGCATGAGTAGTTCATGTAGAAAGGAAACTTAACAATCTACCGAACGAAAGGCGGGATAATTTTGATAAGCAACAACACAAGCTAGAGCAGAGTTCATATTCCATTTAAACTATAATGCGTGATTACAGAGTAAAGGTCTGATTTACTTAATGCATTGAGAAAACCACACAATGCTTTACCTCTCTGGTAAAAGGTATTTTCATTGTGCGCAAGCCCTGTATACAAACAATCGCTAGGAATTCTGGGTGTCGATTGTTTCAGTTTCAGCTTCACATCATTTAGTGCTTAAGTTAGCTTTGCTGATCCTTGGTTTCACAGCTTAGCAGCACGGTGTAACTACGCAAGCACAATGTAGACAAAAGACACACAGTTCTAAATAATAAAAGTCTATTCATGCTGTCTTTTTAACGTGAATTTGATGTGAGTTATAGCTTACGTTTTAGAATCCGATACATGCTGTATTCGTTTTTACAGTTTATTCACAGCTTGGGTGATAACGGTGGCCGACTACCAGTGAAGGGTTCTCTGAGTCTGGGACACTTAAGAAGAGGAAAAAAAAGATATAAAAAGACAAAGTCTTCATGGGGTAATGAAATAAGGGAAGAAGCTTTATCATCCTGAGGCAATTTATTGCAGCGATTTTAATACACTTGACCTGCGGTACATATGCGAAATGAGATAAATCCAAACAAACTGAGTTTTTCTGTTGAATTACGAAGCTACACCCAGCTCCAAACAAGGAAGTAAGGTCCAAAACAAGATTAGTATGCAAAGGTAAAGTTTTTTTCCCATTTTATTTATTTTTTTTAATCCCCTTTTTCATTCATCTAATTGCATTGCAAATAAAGGGAATCCATTTAAGGCCGTCAATACATTAAGTGGACTGTTGCATTCTGCAACTCGGCGAATATGGGAAAGTATTAGAGTTTCACCTCTAGTTAGCTTGAGCAAAGATCTAGCGAAGTTCATGAGCCACTGGGGCCTCGGGCCAAAAACTAAAAGGAGTATCATGGAATTACTTTTAAACTGCGGCAAGAAACTAAATTTCAATTAGTACTGGAGTCCAGAGCTTTCACCAGAATATTTTAATGGAATACTCAAAATTCCTGAAATTACTCTGAGGTAGTTCCTTTGTATGGCCACGTATTTCATCAAAACAAAGAGAGAGAAAAATACATAATGACTATGTTGTTGATCAAGTTCAGTCTTTTGCATCTTTATTTTAACAAGCTGATGTTGAAAGAACCAAAAGAGGGTCCGTAAGCTGATTGATTATTCTTGACACACGACAACGGGATAATTAATATCATTATACATCAGACGTACTGTGGAAATCTGATTGGCCGAGAACATTCAATCAACATACAATAGCGTGTGAGGTTGACTTGATATAACATGTCGAGTTCAAAGTCTGCCGAGTTTTCCAGAGGCGAAGCCGTACAAGAGAGATAAAAAATAAAATGAAAAAGAACAGCACTTTGATATGTGACCCCGCCAGAGTCCACGGGATTTCAGGGAATAAGGCAACAATGGCAAAAGTCTGTTCAATTAACCGACCCATATATGCCAATATCTGCGCACAGTAAATAATACGCGGCTTCGCTCGGAAAGCTTCGTTTTGCCCCGGCTAACTAGCGGTTATTAATTAAGAAAATGTCGATTTGCATAGATTGACGAACAGCAACCGCGTCGATCAGGAGACATGGAGCCGGAAATCTGTTGCTAAAGGATTCACAAAGGCTCGGTACTGGGTTTATTAACTGCAAGAAGCGATAAGGATTTTTATTTTACAAGGTAAGAATTACCTTGCTCACTGAATTCCTTGTGAAAATCCCGAGGGAAAGAGCCGTGATTTGCCATGAATGTTTCCTTGTTTATTAGAACTTTTGAATAGGACAGAAGATCTTCTTCATTTTCGCCCATATTCTATGATATAACGTGCCGTGTGCGTGCGTCAATACACCTTTTTCCCTGAAATCCCGCAGAAGGTCACATTGTCAAATAGTGGGAAATTGATGAGATTGGCTTTAAAAAAAACAACTAAACGCGCATTCACCCTTGTAACGAAGAATCCTTAAAACACACTGATACAAAACGAAATTTGTTTTAACAGATTACTGAACTACGTCGTGAGCTGCATAGGGTTCTTTGTATCATGTATCAGGATGATATTGGAAGATGCTTAAGGGTCAATTATAGATGTGTTACGATTGCTTATTCAGACTTTCCATAGTTACGGTAGTAACAATACAATTATGCAATCGATTTTAAATCTAGCTCTTAGTGCCTGCTCTTGAAAAGTTGTATTGTATCCATCTTCATCCCTAGCTGAGCTACAAGTTACATGAAAAAGTTTATTTTTCGACCACTTTTAAAAGATTCCAAACAGTGACGAGCCCTTAAACTGGTAAGAAATTGGTTGCGTTTCATTCCCTCCTCTCTGTTGGCCGTAAAACACAACAACGCCCAGTTTGAAAAAGATATTAACTGTTTCCACTGATCCAACAAAGATTCACCCCTGTAAAAAAAAACGGTGGCTTATTATTGGTGCAAATTTAATTATTTAGTCGACATGGTATGACATGTCGAGTTCAAAGTCTACCGAGTTTTCTAGAGGTGAAGCCGTACAAGAGAGATGGAAAATGAAAAAAGAAACACACCACTATGATATTGTCAAATAGTGGAAAATTGACGAGATTTGCCTAAGAAAACATCTAAACGCGCATCCACCCTTGTAACACAGTTGAAACGACTTTGAAAAATATTTACCATTCGAGAAGCCATAAAACACGCAGATATACAAAGAAAGTAATTGTTACAGATTACTGACCTAATCGTAAATGTATTGGGTTTGTATCAACATCCTGATCATCCAACAAAGATACACCCCCGATTATAGAATTATAATTATTTATTCAGGCTTTTAGTTACGGGAGTAACAGTACAATTATGCAATCACTCTTAAATCTAGCTATTAGTTGCTCCTGAAAAGTATAATGACCATCTACATTTCTAGGTAAGCTACATGTTATATATAAAAGTTTATTTTTCAACCACTTTTAAAAATTTTAAACAGTGTGGAGCCCCCTTCAACTGGTAACAAATTTTTTTTGTTTTGTTTTGTTTTTTTGTTTGTTTCTTTTTGTTTTGTTTTCTTATAGTTATAGAGCGCTGAACCTCTTGTATAAAAGGTGAGCTTGCTCTGGTTTTTAACCAAAGAAGTTTCTCTCATAATTTTACTCTACATGTTTTATTTTCGCAAACTTCTAAACGTTTATGTTCCAATACAAAAGCTGACTTCACGCGGTTAAAGCAAACAATGGTAATCACTACGGGGTCTTAGAGCTGTTTTGTAATATAGAAACAAGAAGATTAAAAAACTTTAGTTCAATATCCCGGGATAACAGCGCTGAGTCAGCCTTAATAGCTAATTCTTTACTGTTATGTCTACCCAGCTATGGTTAATGTAGAACAAAACAGACAGGTTATTTCACGAAAAGAAAAGCTCACAACAAGGTTAATATATGGTGACGCTTAAACCTATCTTCTCCTTTTTAGTTGAAGCATGATACAAAAAACGCGAGAAATGAGTTGGTCAGGGACCTGGATCTAGATTCCCCGTGCTAGCATCCTGATCATCAAGTCAAACACAACGGTGTCTACCTTATCTCTTTACACCCTAAGTGTGACCAGCATCTAATTTCTCCTTACAGTTATACTGCTGAATCATTTATAAAAAGGAAATGGTTACCAACCTAACAAGCTTTGATTGTTAAATAAATTCTCCTCGTCAGTATCCAAGGAAAAGTATAGAGAAGAATTTGGAGAATATGGATACTGATCAAAGGGTGTGGTTATGAAAAAATTTAATCGTTCTCCATAGCATCTCCCTGCTTCAAAGATATTTGCATAGTGGCTAACTATTCACCAAACGTTTGAGAGATGTTTTTTCATTCCCTCTAAACATCATTTCAGCTTCAGTTGGCCGTAAAACACAACAACGCCTATGAAAAAGATATTGTCAAATACCCTTGTGGAAAATTGCTTATTACCAGAGTTTTTCCGTATGTTAAAACATCTAAATACCAATTTAGCCTTTAAACAAAAAACGACTTTGAAAAACAATTAACTGTTTACCATTCAGCCATAAAACACGCAGATATACAAAGAAAGTAATTGTTACAGATTACTGACCTACATCGTAAGCTGTATTGGGTTTTTTGTATCATGTATTATGATGGTATTGGAAGATGCTTGAGGGCCGATTATAGATGTATTACAATTAGTTTGCTTTCCATAGTTACGGGAAGTACAATTATGCAATCACTCTTAAATCTAGCTATTAGTGCCTGCTCCTGAAAAGTGGCATAATGACCATCTACATTTCTAGGTAAGCTACATGTTATATATAAAAGTTTATTTTTCAACCACTTTTAAAAATTTTAAACAGTGTGGAGCCCCCTTCAACTGGTAACAAATTTTTTTTGTTTTGTTTTGTTTTTTTGTTTGTTTCTTTTTGTTTTGTTTTCTTATAGTTATAGAGCGCTGAACCTCTTGTATCAAAGGTGAGCTTGCTCTGGTTTTTAACCAAAGAAGTTTCTTTCATTATTTTACTCTACATGTTTTATTTTCGCAAACTTCTAAACGTTTATGTTCCAATACCAAAGCTGACTTCACGCGGTTAAAGCAAACAATGGTAATCACTACGGGGTCTTAGAGCTGTTTTGTAATATAGAAACAAGAAGATTAAAAAACTTTAGTTCAATATCCCGGGATAACAGCGCTGAGTCAGCCTTAATAGCTAATTCTTTACTGTTATGTCTACCCAGCTGTGGTTAATGTAGAACAAAACAGACAGGTTATTTCACGAAAAGAAAAGCTCACAACAAGGTTAATATATGGTGACGCTTAAACCTATCTTCTCCTTTTTAGTTGAAGCATGATATAAAAAACGCGAGAAATGAGTTGGTCAGGGACCTGGATCTAGATTCCCCGTGCTAGCATCCTGATCATCAAGTCAAACACAACGGTGTCTACCTTATCTCTTTACACCCTAAGTGTGACCAGCATTTAATATCTCCTTACAGTAATACTGCTGAATCATTTATTAATATCATGAGAATAAAGGAAATGGTTACCAACCTAACAAGCTTTGATTGTTAAATAAATTCTCCTCGTCAGTATCCAAGGAAAAGTATAGAGAAGAATTTGGAGAATATGGATACTGATCAAAGGGTGTAAAAGGTTATGAAAAAATTTAATCGTTCTCCATAGCATCTCCCTGCTTCAAAGATATTTGCATCCCAGTGGCTAACTATTCACCAAACGTTTGTCCGTGATGTTTTTTCATTCCCTCTAAACATCATTTCAGCTTCAGTTGGCCGTAAAACACAACAACGCCTAGTTTGAAAAAGATATTAACTGTTTCCGCTGACCCAACAAAGATGCACCCTTGTAAAGAAGAACGTTGGCTTATTATTTCCCCAGAGTTTTTCCGTGATGTTATTTCAATTCCTCTAAACATCAATTTAGCCTTTAAACAAAACAACGCTTAGTTTGAAAAACATATTAACTGTTTCCACAGATCCAACAAAGATGCACCCCTGTAGAGAAAAATTGTGGCTAATTATTTACCCAGAGTCTGTTCGTGATGTTATTTCAATTCCTCTAAACATCAATTTAGCCGTAAAACACAACACCGCCTAGTTTGAAAAACACATTAACTGTTTCCACTGATCCAACAAAGATGTACCCTGTAGAGAAAAACTGTGGCTAATTATTTACCCAGAGTTTGTTCGTCATGTTATTTTAATTCCTCTAAACACAAATTTAGCCGTAAAACACAACACCGCCTAGTTTGAAAAACACATTAACTGTTTCCACTGATCCAACAAAGATGCACCCTGTAGAGAAAAACTGTGGCTAATTATTTACCCAGAGTGTGTTACGTGATGTTATTTCATCCCCTCTAAACATCAATTCAGCACCATTTAGCCGTAAAACAAAACAACTCCTAGTTTGAAACAACATTAACTGTTTCCCATAACATCCCACTCATCCAACAAAGATGCACCCCTGTTAGGAAAGACAATGGCTAATTACCTGTTGATTGGTTGTTCGTAGTGTAGTACAATTAGCAACAGTTGGCGGTAAAACACAACAATGCTTAGTTTAAAGAAGATATGAACTGTTTCTAGTAACATCCGAATGATGCAACAAAGATGCACCTTGTAAAGAAAAGAGGTGGCTAATTATTTACCGAGAGTTTGTCCCTAATGTTATTTCATTCCCTCTAAACATCATTTCAGCCCCATTTAGCCGTAAAACAGAACAACGCCTCGCTTGAATAAAATATTAACTGTTTCCAAAGGCATCCCACTGATTCAACAGAGATGCACCTCTGTAAAGAAAGAAAATGACTGACTATCTGTCAATGGTTTGGCCTCAGTGTTATTACATTTCCTCTAAACATCATTTCAGCTCCAGTTGGCCGTAAAACACAACAACACCCCCTTTAAAAAATGATTAACTGCTTCCCATAGTACTCCATTGATCCAACAAAGATGCACCTGCGAGGAAAGACAGTAGTTAATTATCTGCTAAGAAGTTGCCGCGATGTTATTTAACTCCGACCTCTAAACATCCTTTCAGTTTTGTTTGGCCGTAAAACGCAGTTAAGTCTAGTTTGAAAAGACATATATTAACTTTTTTCAATAACATCCTACTGTTCAGACAACGGTATTCCCCTTTGAGGAAAGACAGTGGCTAATTATCTCCTATGTGGTTGTCCGTGGAATAATATAACTCCCTCCAAGAGAATATTACTCCCTCTTAACATCCTGTCAGTTTTAGTTGGCCGTTGGCAACCTACTATAATGCTTCACACCCTAAAAAAAGACTAAACGGAGACAGTTAAAGAAACAACGTGTACTTCTAACTAGGTATGTGTATCATGTTTTCGTAGTTTGTTATAAAATAACTCTTTTCAAATGAAAACTAAAAGTAGCATTTTATTGTCCACGAAATTTTTAATGATGAAACTGGACGGATCGCTAAAGAGATGAATCTGACGATGTAAAGAAGGACTTTAAAATGAACTACTAAAATAACTGTGTGTTGCGAGGATATTCTTTCATCGAGAGAAAGATTGTTTGATTCATCAATTTTCTTTCTTAAAATCTTCTACAAGCAGTCAAAAATGCATTTTTTTACACAGTTCCCCATCCTTTCCCGCAAACTGATCGTCAGCAAGAAAGACTACAAAAAGAGAGGGTGGAAAGGCGGATTTTAAAGCAAAAAAAATTCATTTTTCTTCAATTACCCAAATGGGAATTTTCTCCAAAATAATATTAAACAGGTTTTTCTTTCTTTCTTTTTTTGTGAAATTTTGATGCTGCAAGTCTGTCCTGGCTTAATCGCAAGATTACTAGGTACGTTTTTATTTAGATATTTGTTTGTTGGCATTATTATCACTTGGACTTCACCAGCCCTGCCATCCTCCCTCTAGATTTTCAAACACTCCTCCCAGTTAAATCAAACACTTTTTCAATGAAAACACCTGCCTTCTTCTTCACAGGTATCACAGATCTGATGTGCTTCATATGGCTGGTCGACAAGCTTCGTTTTTTACCACGCTTTTTTTCATTTCTCTTGTGTTCCGTGACATTGCCAGTCAACAATGCCACGGAATATACTCGATTTATCAAATGATGCTTAAAGGCCATACCTATAAGACGTTCAAGACAACACCAGGCACGCTGAAATGCAGAGACATTTGTCTCGCTGATGACAAATGTCAAAGCTATAATGTCGTCATGTTCATTGCAATATGTGAGTTAAACAACCGGACTAAAGAGGCCAGACCAGAGGACTTTGTCAAGGACGAGTACAGATATTACATGGCGAAAGGTCCAAAACGAGGTAATTGAACTTGCAAATATAAAATGGTAGGGTGTGCTTACGTTTATGGATTTTGCGTTAGTAGCTACTGATGTTTCTAACCTTTATCCAGCATAAGTGTAATATTTCCATTTCAGTTCCCCTGGGATCAATCCGTGAGCTGCCTGCTCAATCGTGCAAGGAAATCAAGGCGAGTGAAGGAGGACAAGCAGTTAGCGGTAATTATTGGCTGGATTCTACAAGATCTGGGAACTCTATTTTAGCTCGTTGCGACATGAGGACAAAAGGTTGGAACAAAAAATATTCCATGCCTATTTGCCTTCGTGCTAATGAAAGGCCTTCTCTTAATCAGTTTTCTTTTTAACTAGTTGCAGACTTTTGTGTCAAGCACCAATGCCAAAACGATGCAAAGTGTGTGAACCGTGAAACCAACTACTCGTGCGCATGTAACTCATCTGGTTGGACAGGAAAATATTGCGAAAAAGGTTTTTCTTTCGTTGAAAAAGTTTCTGCTAAAGTTCATGCAGAACAAGTAGATGAAGTAACGACATTAAATAACATATGCTTATCCATAGATATCAACGAATGTAAGGAAGGCTTGCATGGTTGCCATGTCAATGCCATTTGTAGCAACACTGGGGGATCCTACAACTGTACATGCAAACCGGGATTTATTGGAGACGGACAAAACAGCTGCAAAGGTAAGGCTTTTATTGTCATTTTCATTATCATTATCATCTCTATTAGAATCCTTTACGACCCCCTTTGCCTCGCCTTCGCCCGATGTTTTTTTTGAGTCACAGACAGGAAAATATTGTGAAAAGGGTTTTTAATTTGTTGAAAAAGTTTCTGTTAAAGTTCAAACTGAACAAATAAGATGAAAGAACGGCATTAAATTAACGTATGCATGCTTATCTATAGATGACAACGAATGTAAGGAAGGCCTGCATGGTTGTCATGTAAATGCCATTTGTGACAACACTGAGGGCTCATACAACTGTACATGCAAAACGGGATTTATTGGAGACGGAAGAAACAGCTGCAAAGGTATCGACAAGGACAGATATTACATGGAGAAAGGTCCACAACGAGATGGTAGAACTTGCTAAGGTTAAGTAATAGTAATTCACTAAAGAGGAGAGAGAGAGGACATTCACTTTCTAGTTCTCTGATGAGAATGTAAGTCTAAAATTCACATAATAACGTTTCTCATCATTGTGATACATATTTGGTAGAGAAAAGTTATTAGACTACTTATTTAAGCGCGCTAAGGTAACGTAAAGAAATGGCATGGGTCACCTGGCGTTCATGGATTTTACGCTGCTTGATGGTTACGATTACTATTCTTATCCTTTTCCACCACCTCAGCATGATCCGCACCCAAAGTCTGCATTAGTTATTTCCTATTGTTTTAGATAGGGAAGGAAAGCAATAAACACTGGTAAAGAAGGTAAAGATAAGCCTAACCGCTTATTTCATTTACTCCTATTTAGAATGTGGGCCTGTTGGTGTGACAGACAATAATACAATTCCAGATGTCAAAATGACAGCGAGCAGTTTTTACAATAGTTATCAGTATCCATACTACGGCCGACTGAACGAAACCAGGGGAGCAGGAGGGTGGTGTCCGAAGAATATATCTGATAGAACAGAATATCTTCAAGTTGATATGGGCGAAGTGCGTTCTGTTTGTGGTGTGGCCACACAAGGAGTACTGCGTTTGACTGAATGGACCATCAGCTACAAACTACGATTCTCTACAGACGGTATAACTTGGAGCACTTACAGGGAAACGAATTTCGAAAAGGTATGGAGAGAACTGAAATTAACATTTTTTGCAATTAACAAAGTGTTTGAAGTCAATGCAAATAAGTAGAAAACAGAAATACACTCAGTTGCTGAATTTGGACACTTATATTCATTGGCTACTGCAGCAGAGAACGTCGACGGAAATGATAAGCTTGTGAAGTATGGCGGGTTGGCTTGAAATCCTGAAAGGTATCTGATGTGTCTTTTATAGAATGCTTCAAAAGACTTAGGATCTTTTTTTTCTTGCCGTTGTGGTGCGTGAAGTCGAAGCGATTTAGAAATTAGTCGAGCACGTGTTGCTATGACTTTTCCATCCAGTATATATAATTATAACATTTCTCATGACGTTGTTTTCCGGATTTTGTGAGACAGGAGGTCTCCGTTCCGCCTCTCTTTCTGTCCCTTTCTGTCATTTGGTTTTCTTTTGTTTTTGTTTTATTGTTGTTTGTTTATTTTACTTTTGCAAATCATGATGGTAACATAATATGTGCACGCTGCAAACAATAGCTTGGATGTCAGCAGCGTTTGTATTCGGGAAAAGACTCAACAACAGCCGTCTTGCAGCTGGATAAAGGAACTTATCGTGTCACTTTGACCATCTACTTTTGGCTATCGGATGATGAGTAATAAAAACATCCATAATAAAAAAAAGGGTGAAAAAAGTGACGGAAAATTGACCTCTGTTTGGAAAGGCCGGGCCCCAATGCAATAGAAGACAAAATTGTGTAAAGATGTGAGCAGTTAAGACCTGTTCAAATGGCCCCCGCACTTCCCCTCCCCCTCCTCCCAGTAACTCCTTACTTAGCTGTATATAGAATTGGTGCACCATACCAACTTGAAGTTGTTCAATTTCTTTGTTCGTTTTTTTCGGTTTGCTTTATTCCAGGTGTTCACAGGAAACTCAGATCAGACCAGCATCGTGAAACATTCACTCAGAAATGACTTCAAAGCCAGATACGTTCGGTTTTATCCTGTAAAATTCTATGCTTGGCCATCTTTGAGGGTTGAAATATTTGAGCTTAAGTAATACTTCAAAGGGTTAGTATATACGTGTAATCACTCACTAACACAAAAACTAAAGGATAAAAAATATATTCACAGAGTTTAAAATAAGAAAATCAACATTAGTAAGTAATTAACTTAACAAACTAATTAAAAAACTAATCATTCCCAGACGAGAATCCAGGATTTTTTTGTAGGAGTGGGTGCACCATAAACGAATCACCTAACTGACGTCTCTGACGAACAGAAGGGCTGATACTCGAAAAGTCAGTGCTAACTTACCATTTTCACTGCGTTTAACATAAATTCCGCAACCTTATGTTTTACTTCAACGCAAATAATTCACGCAGTTTTATTTTTTTATTGTATCGTTACTTTTTTTGCAATTATTTTGCACCATACTAGTTATATAAGAAAGCCGCAGATTATCTCAGGGGGAGGTAGGTGTGCACCCCCTGTACTCCTCCCCTAGATCCGCCCCTGACCACACCCCCTTCGCTGCAGAATAATGAAACAGTTATGCAGAATAAAGGTAAAATGGAAAAAGTATTCCAGATCTGTACTGAAAGATGTGTAAGTCTACTGTTGCTTTTTCATTAAGCATTATGCTTAGCTGCTAACGGTGTGAGTTTTCTTTTCTCATAAGTTAGTAGTGTATGAAAATAAAAACAAGAGATACAGGAGAATCGAGATTCCTGAGGCATGGATACCTGCCACTTAAAAGCAGAGTACTCAGCCAAAAGCAAAGCAGATCTCCAGGAGAACAACATTAACTTGTCAAACATGGGTGAACCAACAGGAGCACGTTAAAACAAACCAAGAACAGCTCAATATGCTACACTAATAGCCATGGGTGACTATTCAATGTCATTACATAATGAAGAAAAGTAGTAAAGCTGTCGTACGAACGCGATTTGCAGATGATAGCTTGACTCTTCTTATTATAGATTCGCTTTTTTGGGAGAAAACTGGTTTCATGTCCATTTAGTACCTAGGATCTGTTTTTTCAAGCACTCGCTGATATTATTAGCTGAATCCACCAAAGAGGTCTTCATACCTCTCTGGTATTTGATTTAAAACATGAAAGATTGATCGCATCACATATTTTATTCGAACTGTTAGACAGACACGTTTGTAATATTATCTAGTTAAGAAGGAATTAAAATTGCAATAAACTACAGTAATTCAACTTTTTCTTTTGTGTGTGTGTGTGTGTGAGTGTGTGTTACTACGCCTTTTTTTCAAATTCCAGTCAAACCACAACAGCTTCGATGGAAGACACCTGTCAAGCTCGATCGTCGACACAGAACCTGAGTACCGGAGTTTATGGCCTTACTAAACCATAGCTTGCACAGCTTTTAAGACATGCAATTAAACATTTTGATGATTGCAGCGGATTGAGTATAAATCAATTCATTGGGCTGTTTTGTCATTTTTTTTTCAGTTTTTCTTGTTACTAAACTCAAACCATCAAGTTATTAAATCAGTCTTAGCTGACAATTTCCCATTAAATTCCTACCAGTTTAACTACTTCGCTAGTGTATTAAAGTAATTTCTAATGAATTATATAAAAACAGTGGAATTTGGTATTGATTTCGTCAATCTGTTTACGTTAAGCCACATATATCCAAAGGCAATCCAGTTGGGTCAATAGAGAAAATAATTTTGCATAGAAACTATACAAAACAACAGCATAATGTAAACCGTGCGAATAGATGAATGCATTATTAAAATCTCTCATAATTATCATGACCCGATGAAACATGCGCACAACTTACTAGTTGACAACATAATTCCCCAAGCATTTCAACTCGATTTGGTTCCTCGCCGCTTCGGGCATCAGAAATAACTTAACTGTCATTACTACTCAGAACTCGCTACTCATTGTGAGGTACGCTTGCGCACTCGGTATTCTCGGTGTTCCCTGCAGCTTATGATTTGAAATAAAAGGCCAGTATGGTTGCCATGTCAATGCCATTTGTAGCAACACTGGGGGATCCTACAACTGTACATGCAAACCGGGATTTATTGGCGACGGAAGAAACAGCTGCAAAGGTACGGTTGTTATCTGTTATTGTCTTTGTCATTTTCATTATCATCTCCATTAGAATCCTTTACGGCTCCCTTTCCCCTCGCCTTCGCCCAATGTTTTGTACGAATCACAGATAGCTTAATTATAATGTACAAGAGAAATTGTTCACAAGGTCTTGTGAGAAGTAAGTTACCGTTGATCAGGCGACCAGTGAAAGAGAAACGCATATATTTTTTTAGTTCATTTACGAGGGGAGAGTATACTTTGACGTGGGAAACAGCTAAAAATGTCGTTTCGGCAGGATTTTTGCACAGATGACCTCCGAGGGGATCAGCGATGATCTTCTCGTCATCACAAAGACCATCGCCAATTTAGAAGATTGGTAATTGCGCGGTCAAAAAAAAAATCGCGAAAGGGATATATCACAAAAAGTTTTCGAGCTCGTAAAGCTCAACAATGAGTTTGAAAATTGCCTAAACCCAGCAAGTGCTAATAAGTTCGTTATTTTAAATCGCTACGAACTGAAATTTTTACACAGTGCGAATACTGGTTAACGATTTTTTCTCCATGGAATATGGTCATATGGTTCGCCCGTAACAAGGGCGAACTTCATGGAGCTACTTCTTTCTACAATAAGCTCCACAAGTTTCAATTTTTGAGATATCGGCAAAACAATTTCCTAAATCTGTGAGGTTAGGAAAGGTGTGGACGTACCACTCACCAATCGGAGATTTACTATTATGTTTGGTTGAAATGATTAGTAAGGACGTCGAAACGAGGGGAAAATTGCATTTTTTCTTTAAAAACTTGGAGTTTCTGACATATGGTATTTTTTGATATTAATAAAGTCACGGCCTTTTTTTTTTCTTGTAATTCGAATGTTTGGTCAAAGAGCTTACTCTTTTCCATGATAAAGGATATGTCCACAGACATACAAATCGCCATAGATAATTCCAATGGCCAATTTTTGTGATAACGATACAGCATTGTCTTACATTTGAGAATTTATAAAATGAATGGACCTACAATTCACCAAAAGGTGATCATTGTGCTTGCCTCTCAGCGTAGAGTTCGTAGACCATGTTTTTAAATCATTGCAGCTTGATCCGCGCTCAAAGTCTATACTAATTAAATCATATTGTTCTTCATTAGGAAGCAAAAAAATGAATTCAGGAAAATATAAGCCTTACTGTTTGATTCATTTTACTCTCATCTAGAATGTAAGCCTACTGGCGTGGCAGACAAAAATGCAATCTCCGATGCCAGAATGACAGCAAGCACATTCAATGAAGCAAGACATGATCCGAAGTATGGCCGACTTCATGAAAGGAGGGGGCATGGAGCATGGTGTCCTAAGGCCAAAACTAACAGAAAAGACTATCTTCAAGTTGATATGGGTACAGTGCTATCTGTTTGTGCTGTGGCTTCCCAAGGAGAAAGGATATACCCTGCATGGACCACTAGCTACAAACTGTACCTATCCACAGCCGGTGTAACCTGGAACGCTTACGAGGAAACTAGCACTGCGAAGGTTTGATCGGCAACTGTTAGTAATGATTATAGGACCGGGAAGAGTCCAATTCAGTGAATTACAAAATCGACTTAAAAAATTGCACCACTGCCAGCAAGACTGTGAACTGTTGCTATTCATGAGTATGGTTACTGACCGAACGGTGGGACAAAAAGTCCCGTGACCAATCTGCCAAAACCGTTTTCAAGCGGTAGAAACAAAATAGCCATCAGTAGACGCATTCATGAATAGCAGTTCACTATTTTTTACAGGAAAATGGGCCCAATAGTCTGCTGATAACTATCACGATTTCGAGATCTTTACCAATATATTAAGTGAAGCAAATTATAAATGATAAAGGAGTGACGTTAAAAGAGTAAAATAGCGCAGAGTTTTCGTTCCGGAGTTTTGGCAGCTCTCAAGCTTGTATTTCTTTCACAATAAAGCTTTTGGAATTATCTTAAGTTTTTTTACTGCGACAGTATTCAAGATAAAAAGGTAACAGTTCTATCATAGATTAGTCATAAAGATGTCCCCGTCTAAAGTTACCTAGATACTTTAAATGCAACATAAGTTTCTTGGCCAGCATTGACGAAAGTTAGATCGTCTTCCCCACCTCAACCTTTCCATAAAACATTTCCCTTAAGACTTACATCATGCGTTGTCGAACTACACTATTTTCTCGTTATGTTGTATGTATTTTTTCCTCTTCCAGGTTTTCCCAGGAAACTCAGACCAACACAGCGTCGTAAAGCATTTCCTCACTACTGACGTCATGGCCAGATACGTTCGGTTTTATCCCGTCACGTACCACAATTTTCCATGTTTGAGAGCTGAAATATTTGTGCGAAAATGATGGCAATTATCGATTCTTTCTTTTTTGAACAATTTAAATGTAGATAAAAAATAACAAACAATGCGAACTGTCGATGCTCAAGCCAAGCCTGTCAATATTCAGTGTGAATTGTGAAATAACCTGATCACCAACAGAATATGCCGTTACATAGTTACATATAAAAGTTTCTTTTTCGACCACTTTTCAAAAATTTCAAACTGTGAGGAGTCCTTATTGCTTTGGTTTTTATCGAAGAAGTTTCTTTACTATTTTACTCTATATGTTTTATTTTTGCAAACTTCCAGAAGTTTATGTTCCAATGCCAAAGCTGACATCATGATAATCACAACGGGATCTTAAGGCTGTTTTGTAATATAGAAACAAGAAGATTGAATAACTTTAGTTCAATATCCCGGGATAACAGGACTGAGTCAGCCTTAATAGCTTATTCTCCACTGTTATGTCTACCCAGCTGTAATCAATTTAGAACAAAACAAACAGTTTATTCACCCGAAAAGAAAAGCTTACAACAAGCTTATATATGGTGGCCCCTAAACCTATCTCCTCCTTTTCAGTTGAAGCATGATATAAAAATGCGCGAAATGAGTTGGTCAGGGACCTGGATCTAGATTCCCCGTTCTAGCAACCTGTTCATCAAGTCAAACTCAACAGTGTCAGCCTTATCTCTTTACACCCTAAGTATGACCAGCATCTAATCACTCCTTACAGTTATACTGCTGAATCATCCATAATATCATGAGAATAAATTAAAGGAAATGATCACCAACCAAAGAACGCCAAGTTTGGAAAAGATATTAACTGTTTCCACAGATCCAACAAAGATGCACCCCTGTAAAGAAGAACGGTGGCTAATTATTTACCCAGAGTTTTATCGTGATGTTTTTTCGGTTCCTCTAAACAACAATTTAGCCTTAAAAAAAAAACGCCTAATTTGAAAAGATATTAACTGTTTCCACTTATCCAACAAAAATGCATCCCTGTAGATAAAAACGGTGGCTAATTATTTACCCAGAGGTTGTTCGTGATGTTATTTCAATTCCTCTAAACATCAATTTAGCCGTAAAACACAACTCCGCCTAGTTTGAAAAAGATACTAACTGTTTCCACTGATCCAACAAAGATGCGCCCCTTTAAAGAAAAACTTTGGCTAATTATTTACTGGGAGTTTGTTCGTGATGTTATTTCATCCCCTCTAAACATCAATTCAGCTCCATTTAGCCGTAAAACAAAACAACTCCTAGTTTGAAACAATATTAACTGTTTCCTATAACATCCCGCTCATCCAACAAAGATGCACCCCTGTTAGGAAAGACAATGGCTAATTACCTGTTAAAATTGGTTGTTCGTGGTGTAGTACAATTAGCTCCAGTTGTCCGTACAACACAACAATGCCTAGTTTGAAAGAAGATGTGAGCTGTTTCTAATAATATCTGAATGATCCAACCAAGATGCACCCCTGTAAAAAAAAAAGAGGAGGTGGCTAATTATATAAAATATATTAACGTTTCCCAATAACATCGTACTATTCAAACAACGATATACCACTGTGAGGAAAGACAGTGGCTAATTATCTGTTACGTGGTTGTCCGTGGAATGATATAACTTCCTCCAAGAGAATATTGCTCCCTCTTAACATCCTGTCAGTTTCAGTTAGCTGTTGGCAACCTACTTTTGGCAATAATGCTTCACACCCTGAAAAAAGACTAAACGGAGTCAGTTAAAGACCCAACGTGTACTTTTAGCCAGGTAGGTGTATCTTCTTTCCATAGTTTGTTATAAAAATCACTTTTTTCAGATGAAAACTAAAAGTAGTATTTTATCCTCACCGAAATTTTAAATGATGAAATTGAATTGATCACTAAAGAGATGAATCCGAATCTATTATTTCATCAAGGGAAAGATTCGTATTTTTTTTTCCTTAAAATCTTCTACAAGCTGTCAAAAATTAATTTTTTTTACACAGTTCATCATCTTTTCCCGCAAACTGATCGCTAGCAAGAAAGACTACAAAAGGTTGAGGGCCGGATTTTAAAGCGACAAAAAATTCCTTTTTCCTCGATTACCCAAAGAGGAATTTTCCCCAAAATGATATTAGACAGCTTTTTTCTTTCTTTCTTTTTTTTTGAAATTTTGATGCTGTAAGTCTGTCGTGGCTTAATATTGTGTGAGAGATTATTTATCGGAAGATTACTAGGTGCGTCTTCATTTAGATATTTGTTTGTTAACATTATTATCACTTGGACTTCACCAGCCTTGCCATCCTCCTTTTAGATTTTCAAATACTCCTCCCAGTTAAATCAAAAACTTTTTCCATGAAAACGCTCGCCTTCTTCTTCGCAGGTATCACAGATCTGATATGCATATGGCTGATTGGCAGGCTTCATTTTTTACCGCGCTGTTTTTCATTTCTCTCGTGTTCTGTGACATTGCCAGGCAGCAATGCCACGAAAAACACTCCATTTATCAAATGATGCATGAGGGCCAAACGTATAAGGGCCTGTTTACATGGAGGTGGGGGACCCCAGGTAGGTGAAGTAACCCGCCTGTCTATATAATTTCTTATTTTATTTTGATCACGTTTACATGATAGGTGGGGTCTGGTCTGCCAGGTAGGGTTACCCTGTCGGCCGGGGTGACAATTTGCCATGTAAACGTCTCAAGGTGGGGTAACCCGCCTACCTGGGGTCGCGTTCATGGCAAATTCGGCAAGACTTTTGCATGGATGACCTCTGAGGGGTTTAGCCATGATATCCTCGTTATCACAAAGGTCATCTCTCGTTTGGAAGATTGGTTTTTGAGCGGTCACAAAAAAAATCTTGAAAGGTATATATCACAAAAAGTTTTCGAACTTTTATTTATTTTTTATTTCTTTTATAAAATGTATCGTTAATTGCGCGCACTCGTGCCGATGACGTAAGCTGTGTGCATTGTAACTCAACAGTGCACTCGTGTGACGTAAGGCGCAAGCTTTATGGAAATTTATAACATGCTTGCCCTATATAAGTCCTATTGAGCCGCTATGAACAAAATCTTTATTTAGGCACGCCCGTGCGTAAATAAGATGACGTGAGCGTTTTTTTTTACCTGAGTCCTCTACTGCAGCCGTAACTGTTCGTAAAAATAACAGTGTGGTGGTTGCCCAGGAAGAAACTGCAAGTTTCCTGCAGTCTGTCTTCTCCAATTGCACCGTACACGGCAGCGTAAACATTATTTTGAACAATCAAAACCCTTGATAACTTCGGGTCTTTGACTTTTAAAACATTTTTTAGCGACACGAGTTCATTTGGCTTTGATTTTCTCCATTTTCCCCGTAAATTTTGGGCTTTTCACTCACAGTTATCAGTTAACTGGATCAAATCTTTTCGCTCAAACCCAAGTATAAAATGTGGCGTGTTTTTGACCAGCCAATAGGGACGTTTGTTTACTTTTTTTTGTGTGTTGTGAGAATTTTTCACCCTATCACAATAAAAGGCTTCTTCGCGCACATCCTTGTTGTCGCTCTGCTACAAAAGAATTTGCTCATGCTTTTAGCTGTGCGTATATCGATTTATGGATGTACTTGGGAAGTTTGGAGAGCACTAAAAAAGCTAGAGTTGCTCTCGGCTGCGCCTTGAGCTACTCTCACGCATTTTACGTGCTCTCCAAACTTCCCGTGTGCATCCATAACTCGATATACGCACGCTAAGTATAAACAAATTCTTAAATAATGAACTCGTTCTGACCAATCACGGCGCACGCATTTCTCTGAACATTTTATAATGTTTCGTAAGGAATGGGCTATTGATGAACTGTTTCGATACAGAAACGTATTATCTTCTCAAAGGACTTGGCTTTGTCAATCACTACATAAACTACACAAGCTAAGCAATTCAGTAGGTTGTATTCCTGTCTCTGAGCCCCACTGTCGTAGCCAAACAAGATATTATGGCCATTACATCAAATTATGTTTATCTTCTATTAAGATCTTTCCCTGGAATAACTTTGTTGCATGAAGCACAATGCTAAAAATCCTACAAGCTAAATTTAAAAAAAACGCAGTCGAATTAACCTTAGCATCTGACGTAATAGAAAAAGAAGATTTTAGATGAATAAAATACAAGAAAGGAAGTGTCTCTTTAATTTTTTTTTTTATCCTGATGTCTCATTCCAAATAACGCTCGAGTATAGTATAAAATACCTCTATCACATAAGTCAATATATAAAGGGACGCACTTTATAAAAAAGAAGGAAGGAAGCAGAACAACAGCGAGAGTTACGAGGAAATTGATGTCACGTTTAGCCGTGACAGAGGCGCCGGTATACTTTAAAACATACTAATGAGTTGCTTTTGGTCAGCTTCCATCGTTCATGAGTTTTCGAGATCTTTCTTTCCCGGTGAGCGCCGGCTCAGCTCTGTCTGTTTTATGTTTGCTTCTTTACTCTGCTAGATTCATTCGAATCGAAACGAAGTTCAATAACTATGAACAAAGGTTGAAGACTGTAGATGAACAAGAGATGGCACTCTTAGCCTCGACTGAAGAGGGTAACCACTGACTCTCAGTTAACTAAATACATGGTTATCCAGTTTGTTGCAGGTCATATTTCGTCAATGTCTTGTGTCACGTTTCTTTTCGTAGCAAATTCCTCGCTACTATCGCTTTAATTGTTTTGAGAGAGAGAGTGCACCTCTTCGAAAAAATGAGGCCACTAATTAGACCACTGGACTTTTCTAGAATAACTTCGATCTATTCGAACAGAAGTGGAGTAGTAGAAGGAAGATTAAAATTAAAAGTAAACACCAAAACATTACTGTCAAATGACGGCAAAGTGATTGAATTTCAATAACAAAAAATCGTAACATGCGCCAAGCTTTGTGTCCAAATTAAAAATAATTGATGAAATATGAGAGGGAGCCCTCTAAAGCCCATAAAGGTCGGACGCGAATATTTTATTTGACTTGTGGAATGAAACCGTGATAGTAGATTGCGTTTGTCATGTTAGCCACTTGGGCGTGCAGTTGTCCCATAGGAGTTTGGAAATATTCAGCATTGAATCATAGCAATTCATTTTCACATAGCTTTTGTAGTAGAAAAATGGCTGGTCGGTTTCGTTCTCAAAATTTAAAGAGTAAAGAAGAAGAGACCAGTCTACTGTCGGAAGCCCCTCCGAAAGCAATACAATACAACACTAAATGGGGTAGAAAAGTCTTCGAGGAATGGTAGCAGCGGCGGCAGAATACATGTACAATGTTAGAAGTTGGTAGAGTGGCCGATCTGAAATGCGAAGATGTTCAAGATCTGATCGTTCCACTAGAGCATATGTGGCCGAATACGCTAAACTTTTGGTTGGGCAAGTTCGTTTGTGCAGTGGCCAAGCAAAATGGAGAGCGTTATCTGTCCACTTGCGATCGCTTTATTTGTTAATTTGTGCGATTAACCGTCAGTTGACTGAGATGGAAGGAGAGGATGCATTAAACGTTCTCAATAAACCTGACAAGAGGCAAGTAAAGTGTTACGTGTTTTGAATGCATTGTGTAAACGGCGTCTCAGTGCAAAAAATTAAATTGGTTCCTAAATTGTATCATTTCATTAGAACAGGTTCGCGACGTTCCGTTCAGTTTTAGACGCAGAGATGAAGTGTGGAATTGTCCAGAAGTGTAAAATAGCCACCCATTTTTCTCTTTATGTAATTTTATTTTTCTTGTATCAAGCTAGTGATTGATTATTAAACTTTGCACAAATT